ACATTCTTCTTCAACTGCAAGGGCCCTCTGCTTGACGAATTTCTTGAGGATGGGGCCACAATCAGTATACAGTGCTATGAAGATACTTTGCAGAAACTGAGACGTACCATAAAGTCAAAACGTCCTGGAATGCTATCGAACGGCATTATCCTTCTACATGATAATGCGCGCCCCCACACTGCCAACTCTGTGAGGAATACACTACAGAGATTTGGTTGGGAAGTGCTTCAACATGCCCCCTACAGCCCAGATCTCTCCCCTTGTGATTTTCACATTTCTGGACACCTGAAGAGAGACATTCATGGTCATCAGTTTGCATCAGACAAAGATGTGTGTGGCTGGGTAAAGATGTGGTTCCACAGACAGCCCACAAGCTTTTTCAAGGATGGGATTGACCGTCTTATCTCTCAGTGGGATAAATATATTAACAGTTTTGAGGTAAGAAATGTTCTTTAATAGTGTGATGTGGATGGCGCAACAGGAAGTAGGGGTCACATGAACTCTGTGGTCTCATGAGTGACGTCACATACCCTCACTCCTTCCATCAGTACGCAATGCTCGGTAAACACCCCCTCCCCCACGGTGATGTAACAGAAGAGCAACTGTGTCAGGCAACCATTGCTGCAGTGACGTCACAAGGGATACCACGGTTACTACACAGCAGTAAACAACTCTCGAGAGCGTTGCCCAGGAACACCTGTAAACATAGCGATTACGCAACAGGGAAGTGAGGCATGTTTTCCGCTGTCTGGCTGAGGGTTTATAAGAGAACTGGCATGCCTAAGCTGTTAGTTGAAATATAGCAGCAGTCGCGGAAAGAAGGCCCGAACGCGTGGTGAGAAGATTTTATGTGATAGTGTGTGATAACTGAGAAGTCAGCCAGTGAAGATTTATTGCGAGCCTTCAAGACTTTGTGTGCGCTGTAGGACAGTTATATGGGGAGTGTGTAATTCACAGACTTGTATAGCTCCCGCGTTATAAACACATGAAGACTACTGAGGATAGAGTGAAGAGAATATTGTGTACGGTTTGTAAATTGTGTAAACCCACAACAGTGTTATAATTAATTGTAGCTACGACTTGTAGGTTAAATAAACCAATTAACAATCCAAACGTTGTCTTCAGTAGCAAAACACGTTACAATATGTTTTGGCTTCTGACCTGTTTTCATTTAACTGCCCCTCGTACATGGAGTGCACATGGCATGTACACCACTTTAATGTAACACTGCCCTTGAAATAAAAGGTAAAAGTAAAGAAACTAAACGTATTTTAGTAGACTAAATTATCACGCTTTCATGGTCTACACTTTACAGTTATTCAACTAAGACACTGTACCCACTGTACCCAGTTTCAGTCCACATGTTGTTCTGTAAGTCAAGGGTACCTGTAGCCTCTGCAGCTCTTATCTCACCAAATTTCTGGCAAAGCAGATGGCATGTATATAGCATCCCTGACGTATGCCCAAAGGAAAAGAATTAAGGGGAGTAAGGTCAGGCAAAATGTGGAGAGGCTTCATCCAGTTGGAACACCATACTATCAGGATTCTCTTCATCCAAAACAGGCATGAGTAATTCTTCATTGCCTATGTACACTACAGTGGTCACAGTACGTTCAGCAAAGAAGAAAGGACTGCAGCCTTGTTGTCTGGATGAAGTATACAACATTCTGTCATTCATGTATTCAATTACTTCATGATGACTGCCACTCCACAATAAATGAAATGTGGTTTCATCACTGATGACAATTCTGACTCTAAGAGTCCATCATCTTGAAGTCTAGTAGTAAAGTCACATAAAAATTTGTAGAAAACTTCTCTGTCTTGGGCAGTAATATGATTTACTAGTTGGTGCCAACAACTTCTAAATATTGCATGTTTCGGCAGAATTTTGTGCACTGTTGTGTGCAGCATGTTTAACTATCTGTGTGGCATGTTTAACTGTCAGGCAGCATGCCTGATCGATTTGTGTGGACTGTGAACAAAAACCACTCAAACTTCATCCACTCAGGCTTCAGTGACTGGTCAATTCTTGGGGCCTTTTCCTCTACAAAGGCTGCCAGTTTGACCAAACAATTTATATCGCTTGTAAACAGAAAATTTAAAGTACCTAGTCCCATTCAATAAAGGTTACTAAATTTAAGCAACTGGTAAGTAAGCTTACCAAACTTACGAATGTTAATAATAAAATAGAATGATTTGACACCATCCCTTGTGACTGGACTATAATATATAACTAGTGTGACAGACCAGAATGAATGAAGCTAATAATAAGAGTTTACTGATACTTTATAAAACATAACTTCAGCAAAAGATAACTATAGTAACACAAGAACATATGTCATTGCCAAAGTAATGTTTCTTTCAACATCAAACTTTTATTATAAAATGCTCGAAATATTATATTAGAAGAGGAACCTCTGGCATTTTGATCTTCATGCTGTCATGTGACATGACCATAACTATGACTTGACAAATCATGTCACATCCTAATCTGAGATAGGTTTCCAATAAAACTTTTTCTTTCAATTCATGGTGTGTGGTAAGACTAAGTCCAATTGGTACAACAGACACTAGTGAGCCTATTACACCAAGTCCCATTGACAGATAAATATAGAGCATTCAGTGGACTGAAAATTGGCAGCAGAAACTGATGTACTTGGAGAAAATCTACCCCAGTGCCAGTTCATCCACCATGAATCCCACATGACCTGACTTGGAATCAAACCCAAGCATGTGAAGTGGAAAATCAGCAACTAACCACCTGAGCTATGGTGTAACACATCCCATGAAGTTAAATTAGCACCAGGTCAGATATATTCTGAATAAGTAGCACATTTCTCTTTGCCAAGGGCAACGTTATTCATTAAGCAGAAACCTCTCTGTTTCTGCTGAACAGCCACTCCGTGGTTTTAGTCTGTAAAGTGAACTATACTGACCGAGTGACTGCTGCTTGTGGGTGAAGTTAGTGCCAACTTTAGAATGGTTGCGTGGTCAGCATAACAAATCCCCACGGCTGTTAATCTCGGTTTTCTAGACCCGGAGCTGCTACTTTTCCATTCAAGTAGCTCCTCAATTATCCTCATGAGGCTGAGTGGACCCTGTCCCAAACCCAATACTTCCCAGAAAATCTGGTAGTGCCGGGAATCGAACCCAATCCTCTGTCTCTGTAGCCACTAGACAACACAGGCAGTCACTGAACAGCTACTACTTTCATTAACTAACTTTTATGTTTACATATTAGAGAATGATGAATTTTGTCATTAATAGGAACAGTGAACTTCATCACAAAAGCTAAATTCTTCAACCCAATTCAATTCAATTCAACCCAGCTAGGTTGCAGGATCCATTAAGTTGAACACTGACAGTAACTTACATATGACTTGTCCCACTATTCAGGAGATTTGTCATACACGTTGTCTATAGTACTGCATATTGAGCTACTGACAAACCTACTGATCATATTGGTGGAATGTTTTGTATGTTTCAGGCTGGATGATTATCAGTGCTAATCACTCTTGTTCTTCCAATTTTTATCAGTATATGAGCAAGTAGTCTGCCTTTACTCCTTAATGAGCTATGCTATCATCTTTTGGGGAAACTCATCTCATAGTTTACCATTTTTCTTTTCCAAAAAATGCTATCAGAGCGATGTTTGGATATGGCAATAGAGTTCTGTGTAGAAACATATTTAAAGATTTAAATTTTTGTCACTTGCTTCACAATATATATTTTCGTTGTTAGTATTTGCATTGCAAAATAAAGATCTTTTTCCATCAAACATTGATTCCCATAATATTAATACTAGACAAAGACAGATTTGTATCTACCTCAAAGTAATTTAACTATTTATCAAAAAGGAGTTCATTATGCGGGTATAAAAATATTTAATAAATTGCCCATAGAGATCAAGAACACATCTAATAATTTTAAAGTTTAAGGTTGTATTAAGGCATTTCTTGAACACTCATACATTTTATACTGTGGATGAATATCTAAATAGATAACTTCTACTATTCAATTCTTCATTAGAGTTTGTCACAACACAACATTACAAGGGTCAAGGCTAAAATTATCTTAGCTACATGTTTCGGCTATTAAAGGCATTATCAGGTAAACATATGATTACCATATTCACACACTACTGAATTGCAATTGTAATGGTGAAGCTGGATACTTGATAATTATTACATTATAAAATACATGGTAAAAAATACAATGAACTATAAACTTATTATAAAAACAAAAGTTATGGCGTAAAATAAGGTTAAAAACTTTTCATGTGAAATTCTATATCATAAAGTCAGTTGTTGGAATTTGTTATACTCCCGCGGACATAATGGTATATTCTAGACTTGTATACATGTAATAAACTTCTTGGAGGCCCATGGTATAGGTGTAGTATAGTTCTGACATTAATTGTTTAGCCGGTGCCTCATCTTACGATGTATTTTGTCTGTTCTGTGGGGAATATAGATTGTGTGTTGCCATGGACTCCAATAAAAAAAAAGAATCATATATAATAACACAACAAGATGCACGAAATGAAAAATTTTATTATTGCTGTATTCATTGTACCGTCTAGTTGTGTAATAACTATGTATGTATTCTATGCTCCATGTTATTTTATGACATGTTCTATATCCATTTTTGGACCTCTTGAACTTACAATAAATACAAATACAAATGTCACAACCTCTTCTGTAAGACCAGTGACAACCATTCTTTCAAAATACTTGTTGCCAGAGGATGGTGTTCTATGAAATTTGGTTTTCCACTCTGTTCAGTTCATTAAGCTCATTCTTTTAAAAACGAGTATAAAGAGGACAGGCTTGCTATACTCTAGCACTGAAGGTAATTAGCAGGGACCCAGTACTCATCCAATTTGCACTATTTCTGTTTCTAAATATTTGGCTATGCCACTTGGCTGAACTTATTTTGCTGAAAATATAACACAAAATAGTACACATTCTGATGCCTATTTCTGAGTCTCATATATTCACAAAAATTTTGCCATTAAATCCTTGTAAAACATATTTAGCAGTAAAGTCTAAATCATTAATATTATATTTTTACATGTGCAGAACTCATTATTTCTCTCTCTGAAATCATTATAACAATATTCAACATTGTGCAAGTTTATACCTTTGCTTTCATTTTTCTGATTTTGTAAAAACAGAATGGTACCCTTCCTTTCCAGATTGTAACTGGCTAGTAATCAAGAAGTGACAAAATTGTTCGAAGGTACAGGAAAACATGCTGCACAAAACTTTCCTAGCACTGTTTAGGTCAAGAAGGTCCACCATGTAGCTTGGACTGATGAAGTAAGGTGCTTCCATAATTCTGCTCTTGTAATCCATCCACTTGGAAGACAAATTAGGAGATGGAAAGTGGGGAAGTAAACTGAACTGAATGGACTCAGAATTGGATCCAACAGACCAGCTTAGGTACTGATGAGAAAGAACTTTTGGGCTTTATTAATGAGTTAATCTCTTCTCTGTTTCATCACATATCACTTGACATATAACATCACACAGTGTCAGTATTGAAGCATGCTGGTATCAATGATAAAATAACATAAATACATGAACATGTAATATGATTTAGGATAAATTCATATAAAATTATAAAACCATTCATTCATGAGCATGAAAGATAAGCTACACACCAGACACAAGCAAAATTTAAATTTATTACCTCTCCATTAATTCGGTGTTCAGAGGATGATCCTTGCACTATTCTAGTAAATCGTTTCAACGTTCCATCTCCCAACTCAAATACTGCTGTCACTGACGCACTGCAAAACACAGGGAGGAATCATTATGATTCAAAGATGACATTTCACAGCGTTATAACTATTTGCATGACTGTGTGGTTTTGGTTTTCACATGTTGTAATATGGTGTCTGCAAAAGAGAAGAGAACTTTTGCAAAATGTTGTGTCAAAGGGGGCAAAGCAGTAGCAAAAATCCACAGAATACTGTGTGAAGTTTACAGCAACGAGGATTTCAGTAAAACAGCACCCTGTGAATGGCACAAACACTTCAAAAGTTGAAGAACTTCAATAGATGACAATGAGAGGTTACGCTCACCTTAACTTCAAGGAACAATTCTTTGAATGCCCAAGCGAAAGACACTATACATGCAAATCATCAATAGCATGGGAAATAGAAGAAGAGACTGGGATACCCATGTCACACAATTTCAACATTAGATTTACAGATGCATCAGGTCTTAGTAAAACTAGTGCCAAAGCTCTTGAATGAAAATCAGACAACTCAATTTCAATTTGCCTGATATTCTGCATTGAGCAAACATTTTTTTAAAAATGTCATCACTGGAGACTAGAGTTGGGTTTACAGGTATGACATTGAAGAAAAATGACTGTCATCACTATGAAACAGCCCTAATTCACCATGACCAAAAAAATCATTACAAGTGTGCTTTTTCCTTCATTATCATAGCACCAATTATCATGAGTTCATTCCAGTGGGTCAGAGAGTTATTCAGGCTTATTATCTTGAAATTCTACAGTATGTGAGGGATGGTACAAAGAGTATGACTGGAAATGTGGACTGCAGGAACCTGGACCCTCAATCACAACACATAAATTCACACAGCACTGTCAACTTGAGAGTTCTGGGCAAAGCACTCAATTCCTGTCCTTTCATAACCTCCCTAATTGCTTGACTTATCCCCTCCAATCTTCTTTATAGTCCCCAAAATAAAAATGACACTGAAATAAGATTTCAAACAGTAGAGGACATCATTACAAATATGACACACAAAATGAGAACAATTTAACAAACATGCTTCAAACAGTGTTTCCAAAAGTTGAAAATAGTATGGGAATGGTACATTGCAGCCGAAGGAAATTATTCTGAAAGAGATAAATATAACTATACACTAAATCTTGAAATACAGCTATTATTGATGAATTCCAGGTATTTTTTAACAATCCTCATATAATACACAACACTTCCATTCAAGATACAGGCTGATAAACTGATGCACCATGAATGAGCTCAACCAGTCTCTTCACTCATTAATGACATGCCTAAAGAAAGCAATGCATTCTCACTTACGTTCGAGATACAGGCTGACCAATTGATGCACCATGAATGAGATCACTCAGTCTCTTCACTCTTAAACTGGATGTCTTCTCACCCATAACAAAACTGACAGCATCCATAAAATTGGATTTTCCTGTAACACAATTCATAATAAAGTTAAAATAAATTCAAAACAGTGTGAACAAAATTGACATTCATGATCCTTGTATCTTCTGAGACTGGCATGATAGCAGATTGCCAATAATGTTTGCTGTGTATGCTGGCAATGCTCTCCCTTGAAAACATCACTACATAGAATGTAATTAATTTTTTCGATTAACCTAATCCTTCCAGCCACACTATGGCCCTGGGGTCGACTCAGCCTATAACAACAGGAATATTCTTGGATTTTTCTTGGGGTAAAGGGCGGCTAGCGCGTAAGGCTGACAACCTTACCGCCATCTTTGAACCGATTGTCTAGATAATGTGGGACCCTCAACGTCTCACAACCCTATGGGACCTCACGGCCTGTTACAGGGTTAGCTTTACTTTACTAAAATTTCCCAGGGTCCAATTATTCCATTGGTTTTGTAATTACTAAAGTATGTAATGCAGAATATAAAATACAAAAACTGAATGTTGCAACCAAGTAGGTAGCATTCATACATAGTATACAGGAAGCTGAGGTTAGAGTATTAGTCTAGAGATTGGTTATTCTGGCTGAGATAGAAATCCAGCAAGGTATTTCATCATTTACCCTCAGTTCCTCCAGGCAACTGAAAAGACAATATCCCAAATTACGTACAGCTTCCTTCCACATCTATTTCAATTCTGTATTCACTAATCATTTTGTCATTTCACGCTATGTAGCCCAAGTTAGTGAGATGATTATTAACTACACCATAATTAATTAAATAAAACACAAAGAAAACCTAGAACTCACCAAACAAAGAAAATACTAACTGTACTTGAGTTAGCCACACACATTTTCCCTCAGCAATCTGCCTAGCAGCTTCCTACCTTCTGTACCTGTGCACTCTCTCACTCTCACTCACTCTCTCTCTGCACATTAATATTGTTGATGGAAGGTGAGCAGCGTAGGTAGCACTGTGGAATGGTGGGGATATCACCATGAGCTAACAGCAGATTTCTACCATCAACTCACATTCATTTCAGCCCAACCACTTAAGCCATAGTAAAACTTAATCAACATTTTGTCCAGTAAGCACTTGGATGGGTTTCTGCTATAGAACATCACTTTCCAATGGTTTTTATGCCTTGTTGGCTATTAAAAAGACCTCTCATGCACAACATTTATCCATCCACTGTTCCTACTAACCTAGATAAGACACCAAACCCACTATATTCCCCTTTACATAGTTCCTTTTCAAAAAAACAAAAACAAAATGCTGTGCTTGAACATATGCATGCACACAGAACTCACAAAGCTAAACAATTCAATGCTGAAGATGGAGGCAGCATCAACAATCACAAGCTGCAGCAACCAAAGAAACAAAATATCAATGATTAACCATCGTATACACCTAAAATCAGCCAGTTTCCCTAAACAGCATAATTATATTTGTCTGTCACCAAGATGCAGTGTGTTTTATGTCTGCTATGAACTGACTTTTTAAATATTATTCAGATGAATGTTCCCTCTTAAAGGGGGATATTCATCTGAATAATCACCCTAGAAGTAACTTTGTGAAGGATGAGAATGGTGATCTGCTTGCAGATTCCCACATTTTGAATAGGTGGAAGAACTTATTGACTTCATTCTCAAAAGTCTTTGAAAAAGTTATGTATAATAGACTACTTGAACACTTAAATTCTAACAACATATTAGTCAAAGAGCAATTTGGATTTAGGAAAGACCTGACAACAGAAAAAGCAACCTATGAACTAACTAACGATATTTTAAGTGCTCTCAATGACAGATTAATTGTGGGAGGGATTTTCTGTGATCTAGCAAAAGCTTTTGATTGTGTTAATCATGATATCTTACTATCAAAATTAAATTTCTATGGAATAACTGGCAAAGCTAATGAATGGATCAAATCATACCTCAAAAACAGGTATCAAAGAGTTGAAATAAATAATAAAAACTCCAGTCATAATGCATTTTCAAACTGGGGAATTATAAAGCACGGTG